TTTTTGCGAACACACACACACAGACAGCCCCTCGACAATACGCGTTTTTGCTGGCTGTAGCAGCGCTGCTATAGCGCTGCACAGCAAAAACGCATAAAAAACGGAAATTTGCTCTTTGAAAGAAATGCAACTTTGCTATTCTGTTGCTTTCAAACTGCAAAGCCATACCAATTTCAGCATATTCTTGCCCTGTGGCATTGGCTTTCCTTGGCTGTCCTTCATCTTCCCATTTATTAATTTTGAGCGGTACTGATTGTGCTGATCAACAATTGCTTTACGTTGTTTGCGAGTCAGTGATCCACCGGGGCATTTGAATTGCCGATCTTTTTCTGTCTTTTTTTTAATTTGTTTTGCTGGCCTGTGCTTATCACGGCCACCTGTCACGTTGCCAGGTCGCCGTCTGCGACGTTGCATTGACCGCTGTTTCTCCTGCTCCTCCTCATCCGTACCACTTTTCCCTGGCCGCTCTTTGCCATCTTGCTTTGACCGCTCCTTTTCATTTTCCTCTTCTTCCGTACTACTTTCCCCAGGCCGCTCTTTGCCATTTTGCTTTGATTGCTCCTTTTCATTCTCCTCTTCTTCCGTACCACGTTCACCTGGCCGCTCTTTGCCACCTTGCTTTGACCGCTCCTTTTCATTTTCCTCTTCGTCCGTACTACTTTCCCCAGGCCGCTTTTTGTCACTTTGCTTTGACCGCTCCTTTTCATTTTCCTCTTCTTCCGTATCACGTTCACCTGGCCGCTCTTTGCCACCTTGCTTTGACCGTTCCTTTTCATTTCCCTCTTCTTCCGTACCACTTTCCCCAGGTCGCTGTTTGCCACCTTGCTTTGACCGCTCCTTTTCATTTTCCTCTTCTTCCGTACCACGTTCACCTGGCTGCCCTTTGTCACCTTGCTTTGACCGCCCCTTTTCATTTTCCTCTTCTTCCGTACCACGTTCACTTGGCCGCTCTTTGCCACCTTGCTTTGACCGCTCCTTTTCATTTTCCTCTTCTTCCGTACCACGTCCACTTGGCCGCTCTTTGCCACCTTGTTTTGACCGCTGCTTTTCATTTTCCTCTACCTCCGTACCACATTCCTTTGGCCGCCCTCTGTCGCCTTGCTTTGACCGCTGTTTTTTATTTTCCTCTTCTTCCGTAACACGTTGCCCTGGCCGCTCTCTGCAACCTTGCTTTGACCGCTGTCGCTCGTGTTCCTCCTCATCCCTCCACTTGTCACCTTTGCATGTATACTGCTCGAGGTGTCTTATAATCTCTTCACGTTGCTCTGGCGTTAGTTTCGCGTTTTCGCACTTACATTGCCCTTCAACTAAAATAAATTTTATAAAAAAGAGAACAGCAATTATAATAAGAAATACATCCAGCTTATATGTAGTCCTGCCGTGTAGATTGCGTATTACATCCCATGTGTGCCCAATTTTATATGTTCCCGTTTTTACGCGTTTTTTATGCGCCTTTGCACATTATGCAAATGCAAAAATGCTTCTGACAAGAGGTTGTCTGTGTGTGTTCGCAGTTTTTGTCACTCACTTTTAACTCGAGAAATAGAAAAGCTAAGAAGCTGAAATTTTGGGAGTATGTACCTATCCCATGCGCGGTCCTTCCGTTTCGATATTATCATTCGCGTACACTTGGGGTCTCATGTATGGCCGTCTAAAAAATTATGCAAGCTTTTTGGTGGGAAAGAGATCTCGGAAACCAGACAAGATAGAAAACTGAAACCTTGCGGGGATATCCTCTGTACAAGTGCGAGCTAAGAATTTCATACTTAGCTACCACGCAAGCTTACACCACGCGTATAGCTACGTCAGAGTTCGCAGTTTGCACTCTGCCGACTCGAAAACTAGCTGGAAAATAGAAGCTGAAATTTTGTCAGCATATTTATCGTCGATCTGGAAAATCATATACCTAGACAGAGTTTCGGATTGCGCTCGGGCCGCGCCTTAGGGCGGGTCAAAGACATTTGTAACGAAGATGCGATTTCGATTACCGGACAAGCTGCGTGGTTGAAACTTTGCAGGGATATTCTATATTCATGTATGGTCTTAACGTGCAGAAAATTCCCTGTACACAAACATGATAAATATTCAGGTTCATTGTAAGCTTAAAAGCGAGTGCATTTTGCGAATTTTATAATCATCTTCCGACATCCTATGCATTATCAAATTTGTATTTCTCGGTGAACAACCGCTCACCGGAAAAACGACTGGACTTCCTGCAAAATTGAAAATCATACACGCTGGAGATCATACACCTATGATCTCCAGCGTGTATGATTTTCAATTTTGCAGGAAGTCCAGTCGTTGAAAATCATACACCTATGATGCAAAACTGTCATCTCAGCCACGCCCTTTTCCCTCTATGCAGAAAAAGACCAAAACACCTGAGTCATCGTGTTAAACCACAACGCAGGAATCACACCTGCTGTCAACGGTCTAACTCCTGCAAAGTCTAATGCAATAAAAGCGCATGGTCGTACCAGCAAGCTGGTGGGTTTCAGCTTGAGTTTTTTTTTCTGTTTAATCGGTGATTTTTTTACGTTTTAGCTTTTGTGCCCCAGCATTTTTGCTTTCAACGTCATTTTTTATTGGCGTTATTGCAAAAAAGTGATTCTATTTGGGCAAAGACACGCATTCCTAAGACTGGATTTTACGCAAAATTGATTAAATTCCACTCCTAGACCAAAAGTTATGGCTCTTCACCATATTTGCTCTCTCTGGAAGAAAGAAACAATTGGAAAAAAGCCTAAAAAGAACAACTATCTCCTGGTAGTGCTGACGAGGATCTCCTCTTGTATAATTGGCTAAGTAAGCTGACGGCTGTTTTGACTCTTTGGCACATACCAATACCGACTGTTCACTGAAACGATTAAGCGGACTGCAAGAGTGGTTGTTTTACCGTCGGAGTCGCCCTTTCGACGTAAGAAGCAGACAACAGCGTCCTCTCACTAAACCAGTAGGAGAGCGCTGTTTTCGTGCTGCTGTACTTCAAGGGTCTACAGATTGGCTAGCTGGTCAAGACAAGGGGATGGCTTCGCCTGACTAGATTCTATAAAAGCTATTCGTGTATGCCTGTATTGGCTGTAAAGCCATTCGTGTACGCGTGCGGGCAGGCAAATTATTTTCGGCGAGAAAGCGATTTTGCAAACAGTTGAGCTAGGAAGCCAAAATTTTCAGAGGACGTGACGACGTGTGCAAGTCCAGACGATTTCACTGCAGCACGAAATCTCGTAAAAACGCATGGTTCGCCAGGCTTAATGCACGCCACAACTGATTCGTTTTTTGTATGCGGGAACTGAATGGCACTTTTTGAAACAAAACAGGTAGAGTGGCCGTCGCCTTTCCCAATGAGCATGTCGGTGTTGCAACTCTGACAGTTGACCGGAAAACTTCTGCTGCATAATGTGATTAAGTTTAGGGAACGGCTAGTCGAATAACATGGTAACAACAGCCAGGGCGATCTCATCAAAAATTTTCTGAGAACAGTGGAACTAGCCTACAGGGAAATCGCCACCCAGAGGCAGCGCTTTGATCCACGCTAACTACAAAGAAGTCAATATTCCTTTTTTTTTTTTTAACACTGCTTCAGCAAAGGTTTAAAGATGGCTTTCACGAGGATGATGTACAAAAGGTCGTAGTACAACTGGGACCTTTTGTACCTCATCTTCGTGAAAGTATTTGCCTCAAAATAACGTCTTGTAAGATTGATTAGAAATGTTGAGCAGCTGTGTGTGCCAGTGTGCCCAAAGTCCAGTGTGCCCACAAAGTCCAGTGTGCTACGGTTAGAGCAGGCAGATGGTTTCCACTCGGAGAAAGCCTTTCATAAATTTATCTTGTCCATGATGCAAATTTGCTCCATAGCCTTCTGCAGCTTCCCAGAAGGGCTGTCAATTGGCATAGGTTATATAACAGTACCAGTGTCCTAAGAATGTGAAAAAAGAAGACTGCAACAATCTTTTAGATGCTTCTGTATTGGATGTACTGATGTGCGAATGTGGAAATAGTCACTGAAGAAAGCAGAAAAGTGAACGCTGACTTAAATGGGGAGAATCATGGAGCGACTGCTACTTTGGAACGTTTTCTCACAACTGCATAAGAAATCAAGCTCCTTGTCAGGCAAGTGACGCTCAAAACGGCAATTACTAAAATTCGGCTCGGCCTGCCCTCGGCTCGCCTCGGCCGGCCCCTGGCAACGGCATTATCGTGAAGCACAGAGTGGGAGAGCGGGA